GAAGAAAACAACATTTCAATGAATAAGAAAGGCGAGTACCTTTTTATTTGTTTAAAATTTAAGTTATTTGCTGCTTTAATAAGCTAGAGGACCATGCGAGCTAGGCCTGATTGTGTCGTGATATTGATTATGGCATGTGGGTTAAGCATGAACTATGTGAATCGTTTCTTTCTCAAGACAAATAAGGGCAAACAATTTGAACTGATTCAAAATATTTAATGATTAACCAATGTGAAAACTTCAAAACATAAATGATCAGGATGCAGGTGTGTGTGTGTGTGTTCACAACTATTTACATTTAACACTAAACTGATTAAAAATACCATTACTAGAAATTAACATGTTCATTTTCTGTGTGCACTATTTACATTGTGTGTGTGTATAATGTGTTTTTATGTGGACAGACAACATTTATGGCAAAGCCAGTCAGTGTCTGGCACTTCCTCCACTTCTGCACACTCCAAGTGGAACCACAAATAGCACAGATCACACTGGACCCATTCGTCAATGGCCTCATCTCCTGAGCCAGGTGGGACCACTCTACGACAGAGAGCGCAGTGTTCTCCATCTTCAGTCGGAGGAGGTGCCTGATTCTTTTGCCTTTTGGCCTCCTGGGCTTGTTTCCTTCTCTTTCTCCTGAGTTTCTTTTTCTACCAGCAGGTCGAAGTACTCGTCGCTGGTGATGACACGAGCTGGACTTCTCACCTTCTCTAGGGCTGGACTCATGAGGACGTTAGCCAGACTCTCTGGGATTACACCTGCTGCCACCAGGTCATTTTTGTGAGCCACTCTATCAATGTTACAGGTGGGGCAAGGTGTTTGAGTGATGGTTGATGTGTCAGTAGGTTGAGTGCTGGATGGTGTGGTGGGAGTGCTGGATGGCGTGGTGGGAGTGCTGGGTGGTGTGGTGGGAGTGCTGGGTGGCGTGGTGGGAGTGCTGGATGGCGCTGGATGGCGTGGTGGGAGTGCTGGATGGCGCTGGATGGCGTGGTGGGAGTGCTGGATGGCGCTGGATGGCGTGGTGGGAGTGCTGGATGGCGCTGGATGGCGTGGTGGGAGTGCTGGATGGCGTGGTGGGAGTGCTGGGTGGCGTGGTGGGAGGGCTGGATGGTGTGGCCTCACTTCCATCTGCAGATGGGAGCACTCTCACCACCTAAGAAAATAAAACGTATGTAAAACTCATTAACACACTAGAAAAAAAATGCAAGTAGCTTAAAGGATGAATTATCATTGTATTAATGTCAACATTACCTGGGTTGTGTCCACAGCAGCCCTGGACAGAGGAAAGATGCCAGCCTTGCGGAACCCAGCCTTGACGTTTTGGGCTGTGACAGCAGTGGGGTAAACATGTTTGAGGAGAGCTGAAAACTGCTTCTTCCCCACAACAATGTCCCCTCGCTCCAGACCCATCCTGGAAGCCATGGTGGAGAAAACAGTCTTCAGTGGGTTGAAGACCGCAATATCCAGGGGCTGAAGTATGTGTGGTGTGGGCAGGTAGGCAGAGAATTTCAATCTTGTTTTCTCTGCAGAACATGATTACGTCTTTTGAGTCATGTGTCTCGTGTCTCGTCCATTATTAAAATTAGTGGTCTCTCCTCAGGAGCATATCTGATAAAATGACGGAGCCATTTCCGGAAGAGCTTGGAGTCCATGTAACCCTTCTCCTGGATGCCATAGAGGGTGTTGGGGGGCCCATCCAGCCTATAGGCGTTACTTGGGAGGCAGCCGGGGTAAATGATGAAGGGTGGAATGCTGTCCCCAGCTGCATTCACACAGCAGTGGACCGTGATGTGCTCCCTGGTCATCTGCTGCTGCTGATAGACGTGTTTCCTCCCAGTCTGGCACAGGACCTTCTCCCTGGACCAAGGCTTGTCTCTAAAGCCAGTCTCATCACAATTATAGAGGAGATGTGGCTTGTTCTCCAGCTTGTGCTTCAAATAAAGGGCCTTGTACAATTTGAAGAATGCTTTAATGGCCTCTGGTATAGCACCATGGACTCTGGCTCTGTCCAGGGAATCTGCCGTCCGAGAGGCCAATTCTGGATTGCGGGCCTTGAACCTGGACCACCACAGACCACTTGGTCCCTTCTCCAGATTTACAGTGGTGGTCTCGGTTCTGCCACTCTCCTTGATGATCCCAATAGCCAGTACTTTCACTAGGGATCTTGTCACTGGGAAGCCATGGTCTGACATCCAGAATATAAAGGAAAGGAGAGCCTCTTCCTCTCCAGGTGTCAGGGCCGAATTAGGATGAAGTTGGTTGGACATATTTATTGTTTTATAGTCCTGTAGAGTGGTGTGGGGAATGCCAATTTTTTTTTGCTGTTGCCCTTAAACTTGTTCCTGCCTTTACTTCCTCAACTGCCTCCTTTAACTTCTCCTTTGAGTACTGTTTTTTCTTTCTTTTGCTTTACTGACTTTCCTTTGAAATATGATATTATATGTTAATCATGTAACCTTAACTTCAAATGATTGTTTATAAAATTGTTCATATTCACAAAGTTTTGTAATTATATAAGTTAACTTGATGTATGAAATCTTATTAAATAACTTAAATGTCTGAATATCCTATCATTGTGTTAAGTTGAATAACTTCATGAAAATTTGGCAATGAAATAATCAATTAATTGACTTCGTTTAATTTGTTAAAGCATGACAATTAAAAATGTAAAAACATTCAATTCATGCAAGATAACGCTAACTTAATTGATCCTTTATGAATATAAATATCATGACTGCGCGCAGGATGATGGGCAAACAGCGTCTTCAGTCCGTCTCAGGCGGAGAGTGGCGCCAAGTGGTCATCGCCCACAATTGACATTTAAATATTCCCATTTCAAAGTATTAATTCAACAAAAGGTAATTTATTTAACAATTTGTGATAACATAATATTCATTTCATAAAGACTGTAATACTGTGAGATGCATAAATTAAATAGAAACGTAAATTTTCGCTGCTCTAGTTGTCTCCCCTTCCACAACAATGTCCCAACGTCCTACCATAGTGAAAATTTCCAAAATCGTGAAAGAAAGTCATAACACTGCATCTAACACACTACACTCTAAAAAATGCTGGGTTAAATATAACCCAGCGCTGAGTGTAGCAGAAAAGAAGCGCGATCCTCCCAGTATGGCGTCTACAAACAAGATTACCCAGAACTCAATGCAGCGTGACGTCACCTTCACATTCTCTATAGATATTTTACATAAAGTGTCAATGTGTTATAATTTGTTATTTCAATATCTTTAGAGAAACTAAATTAATTGGGAGGATATAAAAGAGTTTATTTTTATTTTTATACATATTAGACATTATAGTTCACACTCCATACCAGGTGGAGGCGGTAATGCACCAATAAGTTGTTTGCCAACTGCCAGTAAACCCTAGAAGAAGAAGAAGAAGAAGAAGAAGAAGAAGAAGTCTTTTATTTTGGTTTGGCGATGTGACGTCATAAGGCTGCGCTTCTGCGTCTGTGATTCGGCTGAAGAAAGGTGTTTTTAATCAACACAACTCGTTAAAACTAGTAATGCTCTTTGCAGCGAAGTATTTGTCCGGAAGGGTAAAAATGACAGTTATTTGAATGAATTATACAACACAGAAAAACTCCTGAAGCGGCTGAGATTCACGTGACTCACTATTATAAAGATGGCGTTTATTAAAGAGGAGAGTGAAGACGTGAAGATTGAAGAAACATTCAAACATGAAGATACTGAGGAACAAACAAAGATGGAGTTTATTAAAGAGGAGAGTGAAGACATGAAGA